ATAGTTATGTATAAGATACTGTGATAAGCAAAGAAAAAAGGTAGAATGGAGTCACAGTAAGCTTCATAAAGGAGTCGGTCTAAAATGCGTTATAGAAAGCAAAAAACTTGAACAGTACATGCAAGAAAGTGTGAAATGAGAAACAAGGTGAAATGTGGGTAATTTTCAGTAGTCCCTATGGCACAGAGCAAGGTGAAGGCAACAGAAAATGAGATTAAAGGCAGGAAACAAATCAATGAAACATACTAGAAAATCTGATTATTATTTAATTACATCAATCTACACTGGCATGAATTACAAGATGTACCTTTAATATATGTATCATAAAAAACAACAAAAAAAGCTTTATCTTGAGTCTTAATATTAACAAGTTTAATATGAGATATACTGTCAGTGTTAAGATAAAGAAAAACCAGCCTTGTAAAAAGAAACATCAAAGAACTTGGCACTTCTCAACCTGCCCAGGAGAAGAAGAAGGAAGAAAGAAAAACAAAATAAAACAAAAAAAACCTCACACTGAGAACTGAACTTTGAGTGGGTCTGCAGCTTGAATTAAAGCTAACACTGTGTTTCAAAACAAGTGTAACAGACTTGCAAGTGTTCTGAAGTTGGTAGCACCACAAATACCTGGTAGAAAATGTGCTTGTTAGAATCAATAAAAAGTCAATTTAACATCAATGTTAAATTTGATGATATTTCAAATTTACTTGGGGAACTTTTAAAAACATGCATGACTAGTCTGAACATTCAGAGATTCTCAATCAGTCAGTACATCAGGTAGCGCTGAAGCAGAGCACTGGAATCTTTTTTTTAACAAGCTACCCAGCAATTTTTTTTTAATTTGATAAAATACCAAGTCACTAGTATGTGTGTAGAATCAGCTGAAAACTTCTACTATAAAGAACAGTAGGATTTTAATCAAGAGCACAATTTATTCAAACTGACAATTTAGGAAGACCACTGTGGCACAGAGATACCTCTCGGGGAACATAAGAAGAAAGTAAAGACAGAAGATAGAGAGTAGTAAAGACTTTAGTTAGGAGATTATTGAGATAGTTTTAAGACTAGAGATAGTGATCCTTTAAATAGTAAACATAGGAAGAAATTGGAATGTGAAGGATACAGAATTAAAATTTTATAAAAACTAGATGAAAGTCAGGGCTAGGGATTTAGCTCAGTGGCACGGTACCTTCCCTGCAAGTGCAAGGTCCTGAGTTCAATTTCTGATACAGCAAAAAACAAAGCAAACCAAAACCTAGATGAAAGTAGAAGTGTAGGATGTAATTCTGGAAATTTTCAAATTAATCCTTAACTCCTGAGCCACTCATAACTAGTAATTGTCCAATGGACCTTTAAAAAAAGTCTACTTTGGGTATGCCAACCCACTACCTTTCAGCTATATAATAAAGTATAAGTGTCAATATAAAATCCTATATTGTTGCCACCAGGAGCTGCCATCGCTCCAGCACCAGGAGGGCTGCCTGGGCCTTGATCCAACGGGAAGGATAGCCACACCTTTTCCCACTGGGAGCCGCCACTGCTGCTGCACCAGGAAGACAGCCATGCAGGCGCCACTGAACCCCCACAACTCCGCTAACCCCCACCTTGTTGCACACTCTCAGACCTCCTGATTGAGCCAGCCTTTGGACCCACTTTGCACAGGCAGAGGTGGTCATAAAGGGTATTTTTCTGAGTTCCCAACTTTGAACATCTTTAAAGAAAGGGCTTGGGAAACCTGCAGTAGAACGGTGTGGAGTTCAACTGTTCAGAAGGTTGGGGAACTCAATATGGGCCTTGCAGCCCGAGGTTAGTCAGCGTCAGGGGGTTCAGCCATTAGCTAACTGAGATCAGGGGTCTTGTGTCCTAGCTCTGTCTGAGCCCCCATCCTAAATGGAAAATATACTATACTGAAAAGTTTGTTCACTGCTAACATGTTTTGGACTGCTTCTTGATTTCAATTTAATTCAAATGGTTTAAGGGTGATAAGACTAGTGACTACCACAGGTGGTCAGTTTCCAAGTTGTGCTTGATCATATTGTGTTGCTGATTGTATCAGTTGGAATAAAGGATTGTGATTGATTTGATGAGCTGTTTTCTCTGATATTATGAAGATGAGAATGTCTGTGGGTCATTAGAGACCCAGAAGCTAGGGTACAACTGTATCAGGAAGATTTGGGTGATAACCCAGAGATTAAACCAAGGACAGCCTGACAACAAAAATAAAAATGAGAAAACACTTAAGCAAGACACAAAGACAGACTTCCAATTCACCAATGGCAAACAGTAGGACAAATGAGGATGAAAAGGCCGATAGTGAACCACTAGGACACCCTGAATTCAAAGCACAGGAAGTAACAAAACAGATCCATCAGGCTCTAGAAAAATTCAAAATAGAACTAATTTCCCAGATAACCACAGAGATGGTGAGCAAAATGAAAATCGTGATTCGAGACTCTAGAACAGAAACTGACAGAAAAACAGATGAGCTCAGGACCATGATAGAAGCCATGAAGGCCCAGCATAAGAAAGAAATGGAAACAATAAACGGCCAACATAGGAAAGAAATGGAATCCATAAAACACATTCGAACAGATGTCCAGGAGATTAAACACTCCATTGAAAGTGTACAAAACAGAATAAAAGAATGCGAAGATAGAATCTCAGATATAGAAGATAAGATTGCAGTCAGTGACCGTGAAAAGAGAGGTCTCTTAAAAATAATAAGGGATCATGAGAAATCAATCCAGCAACTTCTACATGATGCAAAGAAGAATAACATAAGATTGATAGGAATCCATGAAGTATCAGGAGAAAATGCAATGACTTTAAAAAGCTGTTCAAACAATTAATGACAGAAAACTTCCCAGAAAGAGGGGAAGAATTTGACATTCAGATAAGTGAGGCATATAGGACCCCAACTAGCCACAATAAAAAAAAAAAAACTACACCTAGACATATAATAATCAAGATCCCAGAAACCCAACAGAAGAACAAAACACTACAAGCAGTAAGAGAAAAGAAACAAATCACATGCAAAGGAAAGACCATCAGAATCACAGCAGACTTTTCAACACAAACTGTTAGGGCAAGGAGAGCCTGGAGTGAGGTATTTCAAGTACTAAAAGAGAACAACCTCCAACCTAGACCGATGTATCCTGCAAAACTCTCTTTCAAAATGGATGGGAAAATAAGACATTTCCAAGACAAAGAACACCTGAGAAACTACATGAATACCAAACCAGCACTACAAGCAATTCTAAACAATATCCTAGAAAAAGACAATGAAGGTAACAACACCATGAGGCCCAACAGAGCAAATCAAATAGGAAAGGCAAGAAACTAAAAGGAGAAAGTGAAAAAATAAAAAGAGTCAACAAAAGGCCAATAACAGGACAATAATAAGTCAGTACATATCAATTATAACCATCAATGTCAATGGCCTCAACTCATCAATCAAGAGAAAAAGACTGGCAGAATGGAATAAGAAGCAAAATCCAACAATATGTTGTATACAAGAAACACACCTAGTGCAAAAAGAAGCCCATAGACTGAAAGTGAAAGGATGGAAAGCAATTCTCCATGTGACAGGAGCCCAGAAAAAAAGCAGGGGTAGCAATCTTATTTGCAGACAAAGTAAATTTCAAACCAAAACTGATTCTAGTATTATAGATGTAGGACGGTACTGTATCATACCTCTGTAATTGTAAAATATCTTGTACCTGCTTTATGATACATAGTAGTGACCGTGCTTTATCAGACTTATTTTTAATGATGTTACTCTGGAATGTTCTTTCCCCAGAAGATGATTAAGACGCTAATAAAAAAAAAAAATGGTGCCAAGTACCACAACAGCAACAGAACTTTGCTGTTTTCTGGGTATTATTCTTTTCTTTGTTTTTTTTTTTTTGTTTTTCTAATGGAGTGTGCTAAATGTCTATAATTTTGTTCAGATGACTGCAGAACCTGGAAAAGCTGTTGCTGCTACTGATGCTTTAACATATTGCTATTATTGGTCTTTTTATAAAAATATAAATATATATAACATATATACATATAAATTTTGAATTTTTGGAAACTAACTGTACAGTCGACTTTGGAAAAAGTTATCCCAATTTACTGTGTTGAGCTGGCATTGTACAGAAATTAACAGCCATATTGGTCTAGAAATGTTTTTTTTTCATTTGTACAGGGTAACGCACTGTATTAAATATGTAAGGTCATATCTAGTGGGTTTGACTACAGAAACTAATAAAGTATTCTCTAAATAATGAAAAAAAAAAAAGAATAAGATAAGACCACAAGAGCAAGAAGCAACTTATTATATGTTCAAGGACCATTTTCATCTTCAGAATTAAGGATTATTTTAATTTTACATCATTGCCCTTTCTCTTTTACTTTCCTTTTTAGTTTTATTTTAGGATTCCCTATTTTTAATGTTCATACAGAGATTTCTTTAACCGAAAACTGAATAGTTTCTCTGGTGTGAAAAACTATAATAGTACACAGGATCCTAATGAGATAATTAATAATGTGAAATAGGAAGTAAAGGGCTAAAGGTGTAGGGAAAGTGGGAAGGGTGGGGGAAAGGTAATAAGGGAGAGGAAAAAATGGAAATAAAGTATTTGTAAATGGGGGGGAGAGGAAGGGGTGAAGGGAGGGCAGGGACAAGGGGAAAAAATGAGAACCAAGATCTGTCACGTAAAGGTACAGGATCCCAATAATGAATATAACTGTATTGTATACCTAGATTGTACCAATAAACTCAATAAAAAGAAAAAAAATCCTATATTACATAAAATCAAATGTTCCTTCCAACTGCTAATAAAACTCAAAATGATCTTTAAATTCACATGTAAGCATAGATGGATTTTAATCTGTAACATTTAATATTTCTATTAGTGTTTACAAACAAAAACTAAAATCTATGGGCCAAAGGAAAGATTTCCACTGGTTGATAATTTAAATTACAAATAGAAAACAACGAATTAACAAACACTTACGCTGAATATGAATGAACTGTTTGGGCTGTTTAAATTCTCCTTTGTACAAGCGATTGTAATAGTTGACGTTGCTCTCTGCCTCAGGAACAGGAATGACCATGCTCTCTTTTTTTTCTCTAAACACTTGCTGTGCTGAAATGGCTCGTTGTAAATGATGTTCCTGGAAAATGTAAAGTATACAACATAAGTTGTTTTGGTAATATAATTGAATGGATAATTTCATTTAAGTTACTTTATTGAATAACTGCAAGTATCAATTATGACTAGTTCCTTTGCTCAATTACAGGCAATTTCTTTGATGAAGAGCTACAGAAAATAGTCCATCATGCTTCCTTAATACCTGCTTCATATTGATCACATAGCCTTAGACTTATATTTGCATTATAGTAAGGGAATTTTTAAAAGATTAAACATGAACATAGCTATAAACTAGAATTTAAAATTTCAGTTATAAGAAAACTGATTCTTGTTTGTTAATTTGAGGTATCTGCCACCTCAAGAAAAAAATGCAAGTCATGGGAAACTTGTAGTACAGGTTTTAAATATCTTCTGTACTGTACTTAGATACCTGAAACTTTAATAGTATGAAATCCTGAATAACTGAAAGACGATAAAATTATGTTCAACAAATTGTGTTACAAATCAGGGCAGGTACTATTTTTAAATGAAGTTTAAACAAAAAATTTCTATAAAACACATCCAGGTCCTAAATCACTTCATCACTTCCACAACTTACTGCAATTGTCTCATAAATGGTTTCCCTACTTCCTCCTCTGCACCACTGTGGCCCATACCTAATAAAGCAGCTTTATGCTTTATAAGGTAAATCAGGTCATGTCACTCCCCAAAAGATCCCCATTATTGAAAGCTTCACAAGGGAGAGCTAAAATGAGCTCTTACATCTCTTACCTCTTTCCTCTTCCATCCTTTATCACATTGCTTTTTCTTGCTGCTCCCAAATACTGTACTTCGCTTTTGAAAAACCTTAAAGTCTCATCTATCACAGGCCTTCCACAACGTCTTAAAAACACTCCTGGTTCCACAGTTCTTCCCTGGTTTTTTTCCATACCCTTACCTAACAACTGACATACTAAAGATTTCATGTATTTATTGTCCTCCTGCTAACCATCAAGTAAGTTAATAATTTTTATTTTAAATTTTATATCTCTGGTGCCTACTATTGCTTAATACATATTAGGTTAATGAACAAATGAAAATGTTACTGGATTTCTATGCTATATCAGGCCATGCAAAACACTTTACACACACAGAAATCAAGAAAGATGTTTAGTAATTTGTTCAAGGTCACACAGTCCTAAGTAACACAACAGGTCACCTGCTCTCTAGCAATCATCTATCAAGTCTAAAATTCTTAATTCTATCGTATTAAACTAATATAATTTTTCAAGTTCTGCAGAGATAGCTATCTGAACCTCATTCCAGTCACTAGGCTATGTAAAAAATATACATAAAGTATCAGTGCAATGATCTAAGGAAAGTCTTCACGCACCAAGGTGTACTAATAAAGTTAAATCAAATGTCCATCATATAGCAAAACAGATTAGATTAAAAAAACTTTAAAGAGGAAGATAGAGGATGATATCAAATGACAAAAGAATTAATTTCATGATACTCTGTCATTTAGTCTTAAAAGGCAGAGGATATAAAAATAGTGAAAGAATAGAAACACAATTTGAGGAAGTGGGCAAACGTGCTTCTTATGCTATAAACCAATGAACAGTAAGCCTCCCAAGCGGCATAAGTTTCCTCAGATTCAGTCAAGTCATCCTTGCTTTCCCCAAAATAATCATGGTCAGAATCTCTTTGACATTTTTTGCTAGACCAATTTAAATCTGGAAAGCACAAGTATATTCAAGAAAAATGTTCTCAAATGTAAATAGAAAAACAGAAGTCCGAGGATATCTAAGTTAACTTTTAAAAAGAAGCTTAAAATGTAGCACAATAGGAACAAAGCCATAGAAATAAACCTACAAGAACAGAAAGTTTACATTTATATATGTAACCATATAACAATTACTAGTGTATAGCAAACACTTTTAAAAATCTTAATTTTTAAAAAATCCTCATAAAATAGCATCATTCTCATATACTTAGATAAGGAAACTGAAAACTGAGGTGGAAAGGTTAATTTGTCCAAGATCACTTTGCTAGTAAATAGTACAGCCAGGTGTAAAACTCTTAATCACTAATTATGCTAATCTCATATGAATCAATGTAACAAGAAAGCTCCAGATAGATCTATGTACAGACAGGCAGTTAAGATACAGATAACAGCACCACAGATTTAATGGGCAATAACCAAGCTGCTCAAGATACAAAGAAATAACAAAGAAAATGCCTACTTTATGCCCAGATGGGGGGTGTGTGTTCAAAGATATATATGTATGTACATGTGTACTGTAAAATCATAAAGTTAACAGAAGCAAACAAAGGAAAATCCCTTTCTGCTATAGGAACAGTAATTCCTAAGTAAAAACATTAGGGGAACAAAGATTTATTACACCTAAATTAAAGATTTCTGAACCAGGTATAGTGGCACACACCTATAAACTCAGCCTCTCAGGAGGCTGAGGCAGGAGGATCACAAGTCAGAGGCCAGCCTGGAAAATTTAAGACTACAAGTTCAAGGCCAGCTTAGAAAGTCAGTGACAGTCTGTCTCAAAACAAACAAAAGGCTAGTGATGTAGCCTACTGGTGCAATATTTGCACAGCATGTGCAAAACCCTAAGTTTAATCTCTAGTAGCTAAAAAAAGAAAAAAATATGTTCAATGAGGATAACATAGTCAATAAATATACCATAAAACTAAAGTTATTTTTAATGGCTAAAATCTCTAAGTGAATAATACCTAGAATATGTAAGAAATGCCTACAAATCAACAAGACACAGCCCCAAATAATAATGGTAAGAGATATAAACAGGCAAATTACACGTGAGAAAACCCTAAAGGCTGACAAGCACTCCAAGAAATACTCCAATTCATTAGTGAACAAAGAAATGAAAATTAAACAGATGTGTTATACCTGGCCCCCCAAATGGTAAATTAGGGTAATGCTACATGTTAGCAAGGATGGAAGGATACAAATTCCTGCATGTATGTCTGCAGAATAAAGGCTGCTGTTACCACTGTAGAGAGCAACGGCAACACTTTTAATTCAACTAAATCAAATTAATCTTTCCATATTCTACAACATGCCATATGCTGTCTAACATATATATAGCCCCAAGAACATCTCAGACAGGTCAATAAGTAACGTACACTGAAACAGTATCTGTAGTGGAGGGTAGTTTGAGGCAGGGTGGATATCTATGATTGGAAGGATGGAGAAGTCAAATGTGATAAGATGTTCACCATGAATACTACATAACATTTGATATTATTAGTCCAGATGTATATTTAACATGGAAGATCTTAAAAAACAATGTTGAGTGAAGAAAATTCCTTAGAGTCAAATGGGTAGTTTATACTAAAAAGAAAAAAGAAAAACAAAAGAACTAGAGGGGGGGAAAAAGAAAAAAAACTCACATAAAACAATAAAAATTTCACCAGAAGAGATGTACTGAAAATTTTAGGTAGGTGCTTAAAAAAGGGCAGGAAGGAGAAAAAGGTTGGGGAAAGGGATATAACAGAATAAACAGAACTGAAACTTGCAATTTCCTTTAAAATCCAGGCTGTGTGGGATTACAGTGTCAGATAAAACAAGATTGGCCATACCATAGAGGATTCATTGTACTCTATTCTTCAGGGAGATTCAATGTGTTCTTTTCTCTGCTTTTGTGAACGTAATGACTGCCCAAATTAAAATTAAAATATACCACAAAAGGCTCTTGATAAAGATCAGTGATAATGTATCATAACTGGAAGCATATGAATAATTCAACTTTCTACAAGTGACTTTCCTTCTTAAAACAATAAAAACTCCTCTATATGATAGCACCATTACTACAGAATTTTCAAAATATACTTAGTTTTAAGGTTGAACAAAGATTATTAATGTACTCAATGCATTCCAATAATTATACTTTAAAAACCAAGACACTTTATCAAACAACAACCTCATCAGTCAAGTGAAGATAAAACACAGTGAATACTGATAATAATTGTATAAACATAAAATGACAAGGTAGACAGTGATCTAACAGGTCATTTAATCCCGTTTTTCAATCTGTAGATTAACACCTAGTAATACATCACAACAATTTTTGAACAAAAAATTAGAAGGTTTTGAATGCAGAAAGGAAAAATAGTTTTATAAACACTTCAGTCACATGTATGTGCAATATATTATCATCATTTATGGTCATCGTCAAAGCTTTTAAAAACACGAATATATTCAAACTACTCAGTTGATGTGTGTTCTGGTAAGGTTTTCATCTGCAACAAAATTCAACAAGAATAGCCCTCAAGAGATTTGTGAACTATTATATAATAGCAAAGTGAATTGCTATTTCTTCTACCTGTCACTCTCCATAGCTTCCTAAACAATCAATCACCCACTTCTAGATAAAAAGGCCTTTGGGCCCAAGTTTAAGATGTCATTCAGCAATGAAACCTGACCATCCTCTTTTTTAAAAAATTCCCTTTATTAGTTCTCAGATTCATTTATCTCTCCAATTTAAGACAATCGCCAGACTTGCAGGTTTATATTTGTTCTCGTAATTATGTGACTGATGTCTTCTTATTCTCCTGAAATGTGGACAGGAATTTTGTCTATTTTGCACCCACCACTTGTCCCTAATACTTGGCACACAGTAAACTCATAGTGTTTCTACTTTGGACTGGAGTAAGGGAAGGCAGACTGCCTACCATCTATAAGAAAGTCCCTCCCACCCCCACCCCCCTGAGTTGGACATATCTCCTCTCAAAAAATTCAACCTGGGCCAGGGATTTAGCTCAGTGGTTCTGCTGCCCACCTGGCAAGTGCAAGGTCCTGAGTTTGATCCCCGGTAACAACAATAACAACAAAAGTCCAACCTACCATCCTAGAACCACACCTCTCCCAAGTATCCTTCTCAAGTATTATAACAAAATTCTTGGTATTATCCATTAACAGCTACATTTTCTGTCTTCTGTCCCTTAAAATTGTGATCCTCTCCTGAGTACAACTTCTATTTCCTACTCCTGAGTTCATGCACATCT